ATTCGGGTCAATGGAGGATTTACGTCTGAATTACAGACGTGGGAAATTCAAACCTGGCAGCTTTAGCCAGCTGAAGCAGATCAGTTTCCTGTTTCTCTCTGCTCTTCCCATTGGGTGTAATTTAAACTCCACTTGCAGAGACATTTAACCTCCCAAAAAAGAGTGGGAGGAAGGCAGGAGCTCCTCTTCCCCTCACATCACAGCCCCACCTGAATCATGCCCCTGCTGTGCTTTGACAAAGGAGTTGCCACAGGGGATTCTCAGCTGCAGCATGGCTTCAAGTCCCTGTGGTGAACATACGTAAAGCATAAGCGTGGCTTCCAGTCCCTGTGGCGAACACGTGTAAAGGCTTAGAATGGGCGTTTCTTGAACGGTGTAAAAGACATGTTCTCTTAATGTATGGTACTTTTGCCTTGTTGAAATTAACCCCTAGAGTCGGACTCGACTAGCTTTCGAGCAAAGGAAACCTTTACCTGTTACCTTTACCTTGACCACATTAATGCATACTGACCGGTTGCTACATTTTTTAAAAAAGATCAGTGCTACAAATTGAAGGGCCAAGGCAGATGTGACGGTGTCGTTGTGGCCATCGCGAGGACACCACTGCCATTTTAAAATCATTTAAAAACACCGTGGGTGCGGTCATACGCGCCAGAAAAAACGGGGGGGGGGGGGGAAGCAAGGCTATTTCCTCTGGAGGAATTTGACCTGCAGTTGCACGATCACACCTCCTTTTGAAGCTGTGGGCGAAGTTTGTGTGTGATCAGACGCAACTGTGGGTGAGTTGTGGGTTTTTTGGCCGTTTTGTTTCCCATGCGCTTAAACGAGGAATCGATGAACTGCACCTCCGCACTGAGGGCTCCCTATGGAGTTTGTGATGATGCGCATACTGCGAAAGGGGGGGGGACAACGGCACGGAGTTGGGATGGCCTGATCGGACCATCACAATGACATGAGAGCGCGCTTGAGCGATCAGACACGGGAAAGTCCATCCGTGGCCAGTGTTCCCTCTAAGCTGAGTTAGTGTGAGCTGGCTCACAGTTTTTTAGCCTCCAGCTCACACATTTTTGTCTCAGCTCATGAAGGAGGGCTCCAGAGCAAACTAATTTATGCAGTCACCAAGTCACCCACTCACAACTTTAATGCCAGCAGCTCACAAAGTACAATTTTTGCTCACAAGACTCCACAGCTTAGAGGGAACACCGTGGCCCGTCGCAACCCATTTACTACGGGATTTCCCCCCATATCTTTTAACTCCGCTTCTGCGGTGGAGCAGAACAGGTTGCCGACGGCTGTGGGGCGCTTCCCAGATGCTGTTGTCTGATCACGCCCTTTAAATCTGCCCGGCATTCGCACCTATGTCGGGTCTGATTGTGCGTATGATCGCAGCCTGTGAGGGCCCAATTGGGCCTGCAGTACAGCTGTCTTGTTTCTTCCCTTCGCCTTTTCAAGTGCTGAAACAGCTGGCAGGATGCAACCATTTTGGTACTTGGTAAGGTGCAGGGAGGAACCAGAGTGCCTCAGCCCACTGTGCTGTGGGCTTGCGGTGTTTTTAAATGACTTTTAAAATGTTCTCTAAAATGGCAGCAAGTTTCTTGTGGTGGCCACAAGGGCACTGTCACGTCTAGTTTGGTCCTGTACGTGAGTAAATACACTTGTCTTTCATGTCTTTTCAAAACTAACTAATGTTTAGCTGGAGACACTGAAAGCCACTGTGGATGGGACTGCTTCTGAACTAGAACAGATGAGATCCTCTGTAGCTAACCTGAAGAGGGAAACCCAGGACAAAACTCTCAGGTAGGAAGTGTAAATGGCAAAGGTGATTTCTGGGGGGTTTGTACAGTGGTTTTCCTCAATGTTGCTTTTTTTTTGTAGTAGATAAAACAGAACTGATATATAATACAGTGCTTGACAAGGCAGGAGACACAGACAGCCTCACCTATAGTGAAGTAAATAATTTGGTGGGGGTCTCCTCAGCGTTCGTGAGAGCAGTTGGCTGGCTGTTTTCTGTTTACTTCTTCAGAACTATCAGGACAGCTGCTGACGGAAGAAAGTTGTAGGTGTGAGCCTAGTGCAAACTGGAGTCTCAATGGCAACTTATGTGGGAAATTTCCCCATCAGCACCTGCTGCGGTGTTGGACTGGAGCTACAGCTCTCAGCAAGAGGGCTTTATTGACAACTCCACCCCCCACCCCACCCCCGGTACGAGTTTCAGAGGCCTCAACCTGCCATTAGCCCCAATGGGGTAAAAGGCTTCTTCAAGTATTGCACCTCATAACAAAGTTTGAGTCCAGTGGCACCCTTAAGACCAACAGAGCTTTATTCAAAGTATAAGCTTTTGTGTGCATGCGCATTTCTTCGGAGACTAAAGAAGTGCGCATGCACACAAAAGCTTATATCTGGACTCCAACTTTGTTCTGCTGCTTCAGACTGACACGGCCGGCCGGCCGGCCTGAATCTGATTCACCTCCGTCAGTGAGGCACAGTGAAGAGGGCTGGCTTCTGACTCGCAAGGCCCCGCTTTCAAATCACCCAGAAACCCACAAACTGCCTTCTCTTCGTCTGTCCTGCCCTTCCCTTCCCTGTGGGGTGGCCATGAGGAAATGGGAGAGGGAAACGCCAGGATGAAAATATCGGGAAGAAGTTCAAAGAAAAGGCATTCTTTTCATTGGCACGTTTACCAGCAGTTTGTCCATCAAAGCATGTCTTGCCTCTGTTGTCATTTAGTTGACTGAGTTTGTGGTCTGCTATTGTAAATGCCTCTGGGCCAAACGACACAATACAGTTTTTGGCTGTTGTGTGGCTGTGGGGAAAGCAAGTCGGTCTTGGACCTGCCCTGTTACACGAACACACGCAAGGCGGCCTTATACTGAAGTAGACCGTTTGCCCGTCAGGTTCTACTCAAACTGGCAGTGGCTCTCGAGGGTCTTCAGAGGAGGTCTTTCCCATCACCTCTTGCCTGATCCTTATAGCTGGAGATGCCGGGATTGAACCCGGCGTCTTCTGCATGCCAAGCAGATGCTCTGCCACTGAGCCACAGTCCTTCTCCCCAAAAGTATTGTACAGTTTTGGCTTTTCGTAGGCATCGTGGCAAAGGCTGGCCAGGATCAAATAGTCTGACTTAATACCTTTTATCTATTTTTGTCACAATTTTTCTAAAAATGAAAACCATGGTTGAAATTTTATTTATTTTATTTATTTATTTAATTAATTCAATTTATACCCCGCCCTCCCCGCAATGCGGGCTCAGGGCGGCTTACAAGTGGCAAACGCCAATATAAAACAACTTTAAAAACATTTATAAATCCCACAGTACAAAAGCATTCATTTTGCATTTTGGCTGCTTCCTAGCTAAGAAAGATTCTAAATGGTAACTGATCTTTCTTTTAGTATGTCGGGCTCGACCATGTGCATCTGTTCTGCTAATAACACCTTCTACCAGTGCAGGGAGCCTTGTGCCGCCGCAAGAGGCAAGCCCTATGGATGGGAGGGCTCAGGTGCATACGCTTTGGGGGCTTGACCTGTCCCTAAATCATCCCTTAAATCTCCTTTTAGGCTAAACTTCATCAGGGACCAGAACGAGAGCCTTTCCAAGAAGCTGAAATCTGTGACGGACCAAGCGTTGACGTTAGATGAGAAAGCAGCCAGGTTGGAAGAGATGCTGAAAGAGAAGGAGAGAACCAACAAGGTGAGGGCTCCTTCTTCCCTTTGATGCGTTGCAGCTGAAGTCTGGTGGCTAAAGGGAGGGTGGAGGCTTAATTTGTGGTTCATTATATCTATGTCAATTGCATTGAATGCTGGACTGAAAGATAATTCAGGGTGCATTATGTTTTCTGAGCGGTTTTCTGTGGTCCCCCCCTTCCTGTTGGTAAAGAGAACTAGGCCCCCCCCCTTACTTTCTTGGTGCTTTAATAATGTGCATCCAGGAGTAAGAGAAGGCAGTCATATGGATTGCACACCTTGTTCTGGTTGGGAGCTTCTGATTGGCTGATTGTCAGACCTCATGCCTTGCTGCCACACACTGGGAAGCCATGATTTTGCCTTGGATGAAGTGCTAAAAACAACCCTCATCTTTGTGTACTGCTTTAGAGAAACGCTTGTTGTCCTTACAAACTGTAGTAGGTTTATTATTTTAATGCCTTGAGCTATGAAGAACTGTTACCATGAAGAAACAATGCATATCATCATACACTAAACATATCATACACTAAACTCCTTGGAGAAAAGGTGAGATTAGGGTTGTTCAGGCCTGGAAATAAATGCCCTATCCCTTTAATAGAGGTGGTGGTGGTGGTGATGGTGGTGGTGGTGGTGGTGGTAGTGGTGGTAGTAGTAGTAGTAGTAGTAGTAGTAGTAGTAGTATTTATTTGATTTGTTATTCACCCTATCCCAGCTTACACCGAGCTCTGGGCAATGTACAGGGGGCATAATGTTATACAACAAAGATACAAATTTAAAATTTCCATATACAGTTTGATAAGAGCTAAAACCAGAGTGAAAAGATCCAAGGTGGCAACTTACAAATTTCCATTCCAATTTCGGACTGCCCGGCCATTTAATGGGAAGGGGGGAGAGGGAACTTAAAATGAGAAATAAGGGGGGGGGGGATTTGGCAACTGAAGTTTATCATGGCATGGCGCTGCATAACATCACCTTGTAAATAAGTAACGTCCCATTCAGCCTCTCTTAAAGGAGGCAGGACATATTTTTCTTTACGCCACTTGGCAACCCTGCCACTCTTGGTCTTGGAACAAAGTTCGAGCTCAGTGGCACCTTGAAAACCAACAAAGTTTAATTCTGGGTATCGGCTTTCAGGTGCACGCACACTTCTTCAGATACACATGAAAAATTATACGCAGAATTAAACCTTGTTGGTCTTCAAGGTGCCACTGGACTCGAACTTTGTTCTGCTGCTTCAGACCAGCACGGCTGCCCACTCTTGGTCTTGGTCCCTCTGCTGCACTGCACTGAAATTGGCCCTGCTCTGGGTAGCCCCACCTCCTGATGTTATAATAGACGGCTGTCGATAGAACCCTTTCAGTTGTGGCACCTCAGTTATAGAAATCCTTCCCCAAGTGTATTCCACCTTCACTGTCCTTGAGGCACCAGCAAAAAGCTCTTCTCTCAGACTTTGGGTGGGATATAATTACTGCATTGTTCAGGATTTTTACCGAATTCATTTTCATTTCATTTAATTCATCTGCACCCTGCCTTTCTCCCCAATGGGACCCAAAGTGGCTTACATTGTTCTCTCCTCCATTTTGTCCTCACCACAACCCTGTGAGGTAGGTTAGGCTGAGAGGGTGTGACTGGCCCAGGGTCACCCAGCGAGCTTCCATGGCACGAGTGGGGATTCCAACCCGGGTCTCTCGGATACTAGTCGGACACTCTCAACCACTACACCACACTGGCTTAGATCGATGCTACTGATTTTAATCTACTTTACTTCTTAAAGACCTGTATCTTGTTTTCGTTTGGCAAGTAAGCCACCTTGGAGACCGTGGGTGGGGAAACGGGGTATAAATCTTTCAAGTGAAATACGGTCCTGTTAGCTTTGCATCCAGTCTTCCCCAGGTGGTTATTTTGGCACAAGGGTTCTGCAGCTTGTCAGGTTGATGGGATGCAATTCTGAGACACCGTCACAAAGTGCAGCAAGTCATGATGTCACACCAGCATGGTGGGGATCGCATCCTACCCAGTGTTCCCTCTGAGCTGTGTGGGTGAGCGGCCGCTCATTGACACAGGAAGCCCCGCTCAGCAGCAGTCTGGAGCCACGCAGGGTCTTGCACTGCCCATTGCCCATTTTAAGATGACAGCAGCTCTGTTCTGCTCAGGATGTGAACTGCTCCGATCAGTGGGGGCATTAGAGAGAACATCCCACTCTGATTTCCCAGTGTGGGTCATCTCACGATTGTATCTTAAGTGCCTTTAAGCCCTGCTTGGAGCACAGAATTTGCAAAACGTGGATTGCAAATTCCATTAATTTTTTTTAAGAAGATGTGGCAATACTCATGATCTAGCCTGACTTCAGATTGTGTTAGATTATCCTTAAAACTCTTATTAGGATGTCTAAACCATTAGCAGTGCTTCCTTCCTTATGCAGAAGGATGGATAACCGGAGCAGAGAGGAGCGTGGCAGTTCCACCGCCCAAGGGTGATGGTTTCACTAGGATGAACGGTTCTCGAACAATGCGTGTGGCGTGTTAGTCATAAGCAGGCTTTCCATCAAAATTAGCCACGCGTGTCTGTTTGCCACATCTTTTAATTTGCTGTGAAAAGAGACGGGCAAGGAATAATGCATTCAAAAATCCCATTCTTTCCATTTGGGCTTCCTTTCCCCAGTGGCCAGCCCCTTCCCCCCAGTATCTGTAGAAAAGCAGGGTTGCAGGGACTGAATCTTATTTAACACTCTGTCTGTATTTTAGGATCTCTTTGAATGATTCTGATAAGTTTGTTAGGAACTTCATAAATCAGAAGGAACAAAATGTGATCCATTTCAGTCAAAGTGAATTATACCCTTCGATTCAGTAGGTCACAGTCACGGCTCCGTTTCTCCTACCCATGGATAGATGAAGATTTTAAACGCACCTGCTAAGTGGTTAATGGCCATGGCTAGCGTGGGTGACGGCAGTTCAGGAAAAACAGAGAATCAGCTGCTGGGAAGAAGGAGTTTGGCTAGAAGGAAATGGCCCGGCTTTGGGAAGAGGAAGGGAAGGCAGGATGGAGGTCTCAGGGAACGAGTAGACACGAGTACATGAAGCTGCCTTACACTGAATCACACCCTTAAGAACATCCCCGCTGAGTCAGACCAGTGGTCTGTCTGATCCATCTGATCCAGCATCCTGCCTCACACAGTGGCCAACCAGTTTCTTTGGGTGCCCAGCTACAGGGCATAGAGGCCAAGACCTTCCCCTGATGTTGCCTCCTGGCACTGGGATTCAGAGGCTGACTGCCCCTGAACGTGGAGGTTCCCTACAGTCTCCCTGACAACTAGCCACTTGATAGATCTTGGTCCATCAAGGTTGGCATTATCTACGCAGACTGGCAGCAGCCTTCTCCAGCAGCCTTCTCCAGCAGAGATCTTTCACATCCTCTCCTACCTGACCCTTTTAACTGGAGTTGCCAGGGATTGAACCTGGGACCTCCTGCATGCCAGGTAGATGATCTGCCACTGAGCCATAGGCCCTACCTTGGCTTGGGTACCTGAGCAGAATGGGAGGAAGAGGGGGTCACACACCTCAGCGGGGCCAGAGCCATCCAAGGTGACGAGATTAAACTTCTGTTCCAGTTAAGATCACAGTACCCTTTAATCGTGACGTTGTCGGGACCAGAAAGAAGATGCGTAAAGCACCGTATTTTCACAGCACTGAACTGGTACTTGAATTCCAACAGGAAAAAGAAACACTGGCACAGCAGATGCGAGACACACACTTCAAGAAAACCAAGGAGTTACAGGAACTGAAAGAAAGAGAGAAGGGCCTCAGAGCTGAAATCGAAGGAGGCCGGGGACTGATGAAAAACCTCCACAGCCGGTTAGGCCGGCTGGATGCAGAGACTCTCAAGCAACAAGAAATCATGTATTCTCAGGCAAGAGAATAACATCTCAGTGCGTGTGTGTGTGTGTGCGCGCGCACACACAGGTCTGTACAAGTGTTGCATGCAGTTGCCTCTAGATTTTAGACTGTTTCCAGTCTGTTGCAAAACTGTGAATGAGCAACTCTCCAAACAGCTCGTTTAAAATTTCATAGCCAGGTGTTCTGCTATCAGTAGCTCATCTGGATTCCAAACCAGGCCTTGGGTGCTAAGGTGGCAGAAATCCCAGGAAGGTGATGCCCTGTCCATAAGTGCAAGAGAATTTAAAGAAGAATTCGAAAGCATAGGTAAAAGTTTAAGTATCAGACAGTAACTCCACAGCATCCCTTGGCTGTATCATCCGGTACCCATACTTTGTTTTACAATTCTTATTTAAATCTTTGTTGTATTTACAAAGATGTCACCTTTATGAAAATCCTCTCCCTCCTCAGAGGAACCTCCCAGGGCCTGGTTTGGTATCAATGCAAAAGGCTGGCACACGTAAGTAAGTCATTGTAAGTGTATGTCTGTTCAGACACTCGCTTGTTCACATGTATCTTTAGTAGGGTACCCATTCCCCAGGTGGGGGCGGGGGATCCCCCGATTTTGTGGGCTCCTGCCCACCGCCAGCCAGCGGGAGGAAATTCCCCCACCCCTGATGCCATGCGTAATGTGCTGACATCACCCGGAAGTGATGTCAGAGTGTCGGTAACTGGGGGGGGGGGGCAATGCTCTGCTTTTTGGCCAAAGCTTTATGGTTTGAGGCCATTTTTACCATAGAGTTTCCCCAAACGTTGCTGCCATGCTGATGTCACATCCGGATGACATCAGCATATCACGTGAGATCCCCACCCAGCCCCAGAACACCCCCAGTCCCCCTGCCAGAGCAACATGGAGACCTGGAAACAACCTCTAGGCTGTGGGTTCCCCCCCCCCCATAGTTCCTTCTGGTAACAGTACGCACTTCCATCTCTCTGGAACCCACAGCAGAATTCTAAAGCAGGGGTCCCTAACCGGTTTTTCGAACCTAGGGGCCCTTTTCACACAAAGTTGTGAATGCAACCACAAAATGGATGCCACAGGAGGTGGCCCAACCACACTGAGGAAGCTAAGTGCAAGGGAGCAGAGGAGTAAATTTTAAAAATACACCGCAAAGAGGAGTGAGAAAATAAAACCAATACTGTGATGGCAGCTGATGCAATAGCGTTATTGTTAATCTGCCCAGCCAATTGGATCGCCAGTTGCCAGTTAGAAGGCCTGCTGGGCGAGCGCCCCGCCTGACCCCACCCACTTTCTCAAAACATGGGGTCGGCACCAGGATAGGTGTCAGCAGACACTGTGGTACCCGTCGGGGACCCCTGCTCTAAAGCATTAGAAATGTTTGCAAAATACATGAGTATATCCATGTATTTCTGAATTGACGCAGCTCTCCCCTTTATATCGTAACATCTGCTTACCTGAAAGCATCATTTATTTCAGTGCAGCCCATTTCTAAAAGAACAAAAAGAAAAGGGGGGGGGACCCATTGATGTAGAAGTGAAATTCCTTAAGGAATTTGCTTCCGAGTAAATATGTTTACACTATTGGGGTATGAGTTTCCCAAATCAGCTTTTTTTTTTTTTTTACTGTAGCTTCTCTGAACTATGGCTGCTTCAGGGTAAATTTTCGAAGCGATACAAGAGACGAACATGCTCAAATCCTGTTATTTGCTAATGCGATTTGTATGCATAACTCCTATGGACCACTTTGAAAAATCTACCCTTTCTGTCATCATCGACTGGTAGTGGCAAGATTGCTACTCAGCCGTAAGCCCCCCTAGAGCAGACTCTCTATCTGGGCCGGGGATGTTTTGTTGTATCTTCAGAAGATTACTTGTGAGCAGCATTACCCACCGGCCATTTCGAGGCCGTCTACAAACGAGGGGGCCTACAAGGCCCGAAACAATTGTCAAACAACAATCAGTTAATTAGGTGCCTGTCCTAAAGCAAAAGCGTTTTTGTGTCAATTTTGTTTTTGTTTTTTTTAGCACTTGCCGAAATTGTTTCCTTCCCACCCTCTCTACTAATTGTATTTCTTGCTTTAAAATATTTTTTTTAACAGGATTTCTATATTCAGCAAGTGGAGCGCAGGCTGTCACGCTTAAAGGGGGAGCTTAACACAGATGAGAGGCAAGTTTTAGAAGCGAAACTCGAGGAACTTTCGAAGTTTGCAGATGAGAAGAAGCAAGCGTGTAATGTTTTGCAAGCCCAGCAGAAGAAACTTCAGGTACCGTGGCTGTTGATTCTTATGGGACATCAAGTGTCAGACCTTGCTTTGCTATGCTTGCTTCGGTTGCCATGATGGTTGGGGGGAGGGCATTCC